TTTAAAGAAAAATTGAACATTTTCATTAAATAAAAAAATCTATGTATTGCTAACAACGATGTGATTTATTATTAAAATATTAAAATTTAATTCATAATAATTTCATGTCAATTAATAAAATATCCAAGTGCAATTCTCAAAAATAAAGTTAAAAAATGATACACGTAAGGAGAAAATAGAAATTGATGGAGGATTAAATTTGCGGTTGGTGGCGTAGTGGTTATATCAATCAACATCTTTAAAGGTGGCGATCGTAAAAACAGTGCAAACAATAGGGAGCCTAACGGAGTCCCCACTCGTACTATTTAAGGTTGAATGAAGGACACACTGATGGAACTATAAACAAAAAAATTGAGACAAAGGGAAAATGACTATACCACATAATATAGCAAGAGAGGAAAGGCCGTGGGTCCAAAAATCTATTAGTATTTTTTTCTCAGTCAGATGCCCTTATTTACAGAGCTACTTCCATATATATAGTTAGGAAAAAAAAATCCCAAACGGAATGGTCTATGCCTTAGTAGTGGTTTGAATTTTATTATATTTTAAGTACGATACAATTAAATTTAAATATTAATTTTAATAAAATTTATTTAATATAAATTTTTTATAATTTTTTTAATCATAATTATAATTATTTTTATTATTATTTTAATTTTATTAAAATTAATCTCATTACTCGTCCAAATGAATTTTTAATTAATTACTCATTAAAAGCATTCAAAACTAATGAGTGATTAGTCTCCTTTTTCTTCTCTTCAAATTGTAAAAATATTTTTCAAATAAATATAAATATAAAGAATTATATATAGAGTTTATATTTATTGTATTAATAATATTGGAGAAAATTTTATAATTAGTTGAGATAATTTTATTTTAAAACTCAAAAGTGATTTGTTAAATTTGCTTATAACGACAAGTTACTAGCTAAGTAAACAAGAAAATGGGTACGTAGAATTCTATTCTATATTTGGTAAGGTGATAAAATTATTGGTCCAATTATTAGGTTACGTCATCCTTGTTATTTTCATATTTTAAGCTAGACATTCAGAAAAACAATTATATTTCATCATCTCTAGTTTTTGCTTTTTTCTTCTTATTTATTCAGATAGCCCTAAGCTAGAACAAAACCAATATACATATATAGAAAGAGGACATGAGAAAGAACAGTAACCCACTGGCTTGGTGATTGAGTTTGATTTCTTCATGCAAAATTATTGACAAGAGAAGAGGATAAGAGGGAAAATTTTGAAGCAATAACCGCCTTCTACTCATAAATTTCATGTCCATATGTTGAGGGAATTTAAGAACATTTAAATATTGTAAGTTGTTGTTATATTTGGAAAGAATGATTTAAAAGTAGATTTGGACTGGATTTATATAAATTATAAGAATGAAATATATATTATAAAAAATATTAGTAAGTTTTAATATATTTGTATATGTGCCTTTTGTTTTAGTGGCAAAGATGCCTCAAAAAGGTAGGAAGTCCTATAGAATATACTTGTATATGTGATCCTAAAATCATGTAAAGTATACATGTATATGTGAAAATATTTATAAAAATGAATTTTAAATTCACAATTATATAAGTATTTTAAAATTTTCATCAAAATCCAAATAAACATAGAGCAAACTCATATATTTTAAAATAATCACGAAGATTCTATATATTTATATGTACTTTATCACATAATTTCATACTAAATTTAAAATTCAAATCCATTATCTTAAATCCAAGTTACCATCTGCAACCTAAATATATTTTCCAATTTCAACTATGAGTTTGGGTTGGCTTATTATTTGGGTTTTATGCATGAAATCTTTTTAGTAAATGTGCAAAGAATGTTGATTAGTGTATAACAGTATTATTGAGAAAAGATTCTTGTATGCAATTCAGAAACAAAAAGAAAAAACATGGATGCTTGAAGACAAAAATTCATTTGACAAATTTCATAAAATGGGTCATATATAATCCCATGTTCAAAAATTAAAAAGCATAGCACCATATACTTGTACCATATATGAAACTAAGAGAGACTCAGATTACACAAGCAAAGAATCAAATTTCTTGAGTAATTGAATAAGGTTCTATTTGAATTTGCGGTGAAATTAATTTTGATAAAATTAAAAATAATAATAATTATTATTATTATAATTGTGATTGAAAAAAATTTTAATTTAAAATTTATATTGAATGAAATTTGTTAAATTGATATTAAATTTAATTGATGATATAATAAATTTAATTATATTTTATTAAAAATGGGAAGAAATCCGAACGTAAGGAAAGTTAGATGAAATATAGGGGCAATTACAAATCAAATCAGGGACACTCAACCACAAAGAATAATGGTGTCAACTATTTGTGAGACCAAAACGATCTACGTTATCTCCTCGCCATGCGTCTGTATTAAGGGCGTGTTAATACCACAATTTGTTATGGCCCCACTTAAGAAGAGCTTAACATTGTCCCAATCACAAGTCGCTTCCGGCCATCTTAATAAATAGCCAAAATAGCTTAGCTTCAAGCCTTTTAAAATATCACTATAATACCTAAACCCCGCTTTACAACTAGTTTGAAATTATAAAAAGTGAAACTTTTTTATCTTATCTTTTGATAGATATGCACTTTTGAAAGATACTAAGTTTAGTGTTTTATAATTTATTTTCTTTCACTCTTTTTGGAGGGCACAGCTTCAGCTTATTGCACTAATTGAAATGGGCAAATGTTTTTGTTTTATGCAAGTATAGAGAGATTCGTAAAGGGAATTTTTACACTACATTAACTGTTTATGAATACGGTGAAAAAGCTTGCGGCTTCGCCTGTTACTACATAAATTTTGATGGGAGATTTGGATCTACAATAATGGCCGTGTTAAAAGAAGAAAAAACAATGATAATTATAATGAATTAAGAGGATTCCATTGAAGGAAAAGGTAGGTCGAAAATACAAAGAAAGCAACGACTTTCAATCAAATCCATGTTTCCAATTGTACTAAACATTGTAGAATTTTCTTCAATGGAGATAACCCAACCACCAGTTGGGAAAGAGCTCAATGAAGCACTAACAACCGGCCCCCCTCCGCTGCTGGTGTCGTGTATGCATGAAGCAACCTTCGGTGCTTCCTCTATCATTTCATAATTTATATCATGTCAAAGCTTTAAGATGTGCCTTACCAGCACAACATGTGCCTGCCCATACCATATCATCAAATCGATGCAAATTTTAGAATCGGCTGGACTCTAAGGTGTCCCCTTAACTCACAGGAGATCAGATCTTTCATTTTTTTTTTTTTAATTTTTTATTTTATGATATGGATTGCAATTAATTCTTTAACCATCAAGACCAAGAACATGCCAAAATTAAGAAAGACATAAGGGAACAAAGTGCTACTTTTATTCGACGTTTTTCTTGTATCATTGGTAATTAGTCAACTAAGTGAAACAAGTCCCCACAAGCTAGAATTATTGCATCAATGGATCTGTGTTTGGTTTGAGAAAGCATGCTACGTATATAGTAATATGGTTGCATGGAGGTTGTAACTGCAATTATGTTGATGTACAACCAACGAATTGATTGTACCACATTGGGGATGCATAAATGTGTTTTATAACACTTACAGCACGTAGGATTTTCTCTTTCTTAGTTTAAAGGGCCAGTATGATTTGATCTTTAAGAAACAAGCTCCTTGACTCACCCTTAGTAGGTGGACCTATAAATTTTGTGTTTTGGAGAGTTTAAAGGCCAAGGAAATATGGCTGTGAAGCATCTAAGTATTTTGTTTCAGTAGTTAGCATATTATCTCTGTTTGTTGAGTTCAAAAGGTCTCATTGGATCTATAAAACTGCATTAAATAAACTATTTCAGCGCAAAAAGGCAAAAACCAGTGGCGGTCAGCCTGCCTTCGAGTGCCAAACAAAAATTCTAGTTATGGTAGATTAGTCATCAACGTGTTCAAAAGACAAGGCATGTGCATTAGGAGCGTTTGATTGAAAAGCCAATAGTAGCACCAAGTCAACTATCGTCGATAGAATTTGGACTAGAAACAAGGCGTATGCGCCCCCTCACCAAATTTCCTGTCTCGAAAAGGAGGACTTTTACCGAACCTGTAACGTGAACAAGCTGTCAAACCTAGTTTTTTAATGAATAGCTAAGCTGGTAAATTTGTTTTACAGACAATTTGGTCAAAAAATCTAAGAACAGTATCAATCAAAGAAGTAACAATGTGTTTGGATTTGGTTTACTTTTGTCCATGTGGTTAATTTCTTCTTTCCTAAGATACTTACCAATTACTATTTCGTTACAGGGAACATAGGGAAAAAAGCCTGCAAGTGTTCTTATAAAAATGTAAAAAGAATAGTTGAGTTAGAAATAGAACAAACGCAAGCAGTAATTTCGCTAAATCCAATTGGTGACAAGAAAGTATTCCTGGCTGGTTCTCAAAAATAAACTTAGATGGACTGAAATGAAAACACAAAAGGCGAAAAGTTGGTGTTAACTTCATGATGACTAGTGGGGCAAACTGGACAGGGCTTCCAGATAATGCACTGCCTTCGTTCATCTCCGCAAACATTTATCCAATGTTTTTCTCTCAAACCGTGTCAATCATTTTTTTTTTTTATTCTTTTCTTACTTTTGGGTGTGTGTTTACCCTGCTGAAGCAATCTGCCCAGGTCATCTGTTTGGTGGCAGTGATGGTGATGATGAAGAGTTGAGTACCCTTAGAAAATCCAACAGACATGTAAGTCCACACCTCCCCCATACTCAGATCTCCAAAGCCAATTTGGATCAGTGGTCCTAATCCTCGAGAAAAGGGGCAAACAGAAAATACCCAAATCTGAGGCTCATGAGAATGTGTCCAAACTCAGATTTTTTAAGTGCCAATATAGCCAATGTCAAAGCTTTTACCAAAGATTAATACTGGGTACAAAAACAAGTTAAGCCATCACGTGTTGCATTCCCTTTTCTAGAGCTGCATTCACAGGCTGCTAGAGAAGGGTATATGACAATGAGCTCAGCACCATGCTTCTGAGCTCAGACCTTGTCCTAAGTTGGGTCACTATCCAAGGCTTGACTGGTCTACCCTTTTCAGAAGCTCTGAGAATCTGAGGGGTATCTCCAATTCAGCAGAAGAAACATCAGGTGACTGAGTCGAGACCACTTCATTTTGGATACATTTATACAGAATCAGATATTTTCCGAAACAAGTGTCGAGCTTGTAGTTGTTTTTCAAGGAAATCTCGAAAGGGAGAAAATGTTTTTGCCATTCAACACTTGAAAAAAAGGTAGAAATTGATGAAAGCATACTGAATAATATCCCAATCATCAGCAACCAATTCAACACTAAACACTAAAGCAAAGAAGCATTATTTTCAAGTATGAAATTTTCCATACAAAATTTGCGATTGTAATCATGTAGCTCTGACTTGTCTCGAGTCCATCAAAATCCGTCTTGATGTGGATATACGAATTGATGCGGCAATGAAGCAAACCAATAATTTAAGCTTCCCAGAGAACCAATCCATACGTATTCGATACTTGGTAAATGGGATACGTGTAATTAGAATATGCTATGGCAGGCAGTGAGTTGAGTGAGTAAACTACAATAAAATCTCATATTACAGATTGTTCTCGTTCAATTTCTCTGAACCGGCCAATCCGGGATACACACATGCTCTACTAGCTCGCCTAGAAATGATTGAGGTTCTCTGCTTGGTCCAAAAAGGCTTCAGCTAGTTTTCCACCAAAGACGGCTTTTAAAAGATCAAGCTAAGATAAGGGAAAGCTATGGGAAAAAGCACATATGCAGATGTCCCGCAACTCGACAAGCTCCAACAACGATAGCTTTAAAAGAAAGAAAAGCCAGACTATCATTCATTCTACAGCAACCTCCTATCTTCAGTCAGCAACACATCTGCAAACCGGCCATCAATTCAAGCCTAAGTGCAGACAGTTGTAACAACACAGCCCGTGAAATCAACGAGCTTAATTTCAATGGTAGGACCCCTGAGGCAGTGGTTTTGAGGCTAGCTGCATGTCAAGGACAGAGACTATCTAGGATCCTGCATAAAAGAAAATTGTGATTGCAATCTCGTTGCACAGTAAAGCATATTCAGAACATGTATCACTTTTCCAGCTACAAAAATTAGAAAGATATGGAAACAATAATGATAAGAGTCACGTTATGGCATATCAATCCAATGTCTACTTTGAGCCTCAATCAATCATCTGTCAGCCCCACATAAATCAAAAAGAGGCATTAAACCTGTTTCTGTTTAGGTAAGATATATACATTCATCTAGATACAACAGCAATGATGCAATGGACAACTTGCATAACCAAAGTCGGTATTTCTCTAGGAACTCTATGATGTTGCAATCAGTCAGCCAGTCAACCAGCAGCACACCACCCTATAAGATAAGATTATTCACAAGCAAAGCAAATCTGTGATGAATGATTAAGCTAACCATTTTAGAATTCTATTTCTCTTCTCTAAGTTCCGGTGAAGCAATTTTTCAACGTGGAAAGGTCAAAGAAGATATGGTAATCGATAACTCCAGTACAAAAGAGAGGGAAATCAATGAAGCATGAACAAACAATAGTAAACTTGTACCATGTGCAACAAACCCTTTCCTTGATTGACCAAATCATTCAATACTTTTTTACCTTTCCTTTATTTGTCATTGTGCTTTCCATTTTGGCTAATCAATCATGTGAGAAAACTTACCTCCACAACAAATTATTGACATTTTAAGCACTAGTGGAAGAGCCTTCCAGGCATCTACGCTCCATGCCTTAAATATAATAGCTAACACATGTGCCCCTAATGTTGTACACCTGCTAAAATGTCCCATGTAAACTTAGGATTAGCCGATTATGCACTTTGCTTCTGTACGAGTAGCCTTCTGAATATCTGCATGTGACAGTTCTATACTTCTCTTTGTATATGCCCAAGCATTTACATGGGACATATAAAGAGATGATCAACTCCTTCTACTAAAAAGATGGGCAACCAGTAGGAGATATGACAAATGAGCAGCATTACGTTCAAATCAATCCCATCGAAAGGCAAATAAAATACACCAAAACTGTAGAGTCAAACATGTAAATGCGAGAACTCTGGTTGATTCAACCAGAAACCATCCTATGCTTGATCGGAATAAGAAGGCAAGAACTCCGAGGAAACCGTTTTCATTTGGACTTAGTATCCTTATTCAGAAGCAGAATCTAATTATTACCATTTGAAAGGTAAACTACAGTACTATGTAACCTCAACATAAAAATGCATTGTACAAATTAAAACAACCACTCAGCACTCAAAAGCAGTTAGCCAATCATACATTAAGAATATGGAAACAGAAAAAGCTAGTAGTTTAATTCAGTCTTTAAATGATAAGCGCATCAATCACGCCAACATTTTCCAAGCATCAATGTCCAGAGATCATGATTCAATCAAGATGTATCAGATTCTTTTAGGCAGGCAAATTACCCCACCCAAAAAGAAAAGGCTCTGAGAGAAGCATCTCCTAGAAATCACACTTCAAAATACTTAACTTTCACGTAAAGCAATTTTCTAAAATAGTGAGTTATCTAGTGAATTCTTACTTTTTCAATTGCTAGCCTCTGAGCATCATAATATGAGAAGTTTATCATGTCTGAAGGAAAAGTTAACAATTTACAATATGACAAAAGCTTAGGGAGACAGAGAGAAAAGGTTACCATCCCTGCTGTTTATACTAGGCCTGCATACTCAGAACATACTTATATGAGACACATCATACTCTAAAAGAGAGATCATTATTGAATGATGCAATTATATATTAACAAAACTTTCTAATAATTTCTTCAGCTGACTTGTTTATAAGAATTCACAAAAACATGGCATCACAGAAACTACATCAGAGCAATGTGATTCCGCTTATGCAAATGGAAAATGCCATAAAAATTGAACAATTAGTAGGCAGGCTAATAAAAAAGAATGGAATATTTCGCAAAAAAAAAAAAAAAGAGCAATCTCTGTCACTTTGTCACGCCTGAACCTGAAACCATGCTGGAGGCATCCAATATTATGAGATCAATAGAAAGTTTATTCTCCAACACTAAACATGGGCTAGCAAGAACAAAGCCTAGCGCTTGAAAAGACAGGCTGAGCAACAGAAGGACTGAAATATTTGGCTTAATTGAACTTGAGATAGAACCTTTACAATTTGGACTTAAAGTTGACTATCACCTGCATTAGCATCCGTGATCGGTCCAATGATAGCCAAATAAGTGATTCTTTGCAAGGCAACGGCACCAAATTGTCTTGAAAAAGAATATTTTACCAAGTTTCTCAGGCCCACAAGTAACTTTTCCATGTCCATGTACACAAATGAGTTGAAATAGGATTACCAGAAAATGTTTCAAGAAAAATATAAAACACTTATTCTTAATCTACCTTGGATGATTTTCACTACCTGTTAGTCCAATTATACCCAAAGGAACAATTCTGTCAAATACTCATCGGTAAAATAGCCAGAGACAATTGTTATATATGTTAATCATATCTGGTATCCACAAATCACCTTGGATTACACAAATGGGATTAAAATTATTGAAAGAACAGGCACAAGTAGGGCGGGACTAGGAAAACAGAAAACTAAATTTCATCTGACACTCCCATCTACATATATCTATCATTACACTCTCCAGACACAAATCTTTTGATGACAAAGTTGTTTACATGATTCATAAAAGAGAGCTACAAAATTCAAATAAAATATAAGAAAATAACTTAAATTTGGCATCTTTCATGATTTTATTAGTTTATTAAATGAAAGAAATGAGGAAATTCAAGTAATCTGTTTAACTAATTGTCAACAACTCAAAAATGGAGAGGTAAGCCTCCACTAAATTGCTGAAATTATGGTATACAGTTTATGTAAAAAATGCAACTACATTGGGCCATAGTGATGAAGCAACTGAAATATAGATCAAATAACTTCCAGCGCAAATATATCCTTTGCAATTATGAAATCATCTTACAGGGACAATTAATCAAGTTTAACTAAATCCCAAGTTACCAAAGAACAGAAACAAATTACCATAAAAAATATATATATTTGCCTTGTTAGCCAAAGTATTGGAGAAAGAAATACTAGAACTAGCCAATTGAACTCCTTACAACCAAACCATTCATGTGGCAAATAATATCGATAGCATACACATTTATAACTTGAATTGTGATTTCAAATGTTTCATAAAAAAGCTTTTCTATCAAAAGAAGGTTACAGATTCCATAGGACTAATCAAACTCCAACTCTCTAACCTTAATAAAATGCAGGACCATGATCAGCTTGATTTACATGAAGAATTTGGCAATCAAACTTCATTCAATTAACAAGCCATGTTCTGTTCATAAATAGATTTAGCTTTCCCATATGATCGATAACTAAAATAACTTAAAAACATGACATTGGTAAGAAAAAATGTCAACAAGACACGCTAAAGCTCATTTATAAAGTAGACTGACGAATGTAACCATACCCAGTCTTATGCTTTAATGACAGCAAAAGGAAAATTATTGCACAGACATTTCTCAAGCTTATAATTTGCACATGAAAATAAAATTTTGAAAGCAACACACAATGTGATTATCATAAAATACTTCGTATGAAATTGAATTATCAACAACTTTCACATCAAAGATTACAAAGAAAAGAATTCCCATGTCAAAAATAAGTACAATTTTTGCAATAATACTCAATCCGTTACCTTTGAGAACGCTTCCTAAAACCTCAAAAACCGAAAGGCAACAATCCCTTCAAGTACCCCAAGAAACGCCCCAGCCAAAACGTCAAAAAGGAAATGTCTTCCAAGCAAAACCCTCGAACTAGCAGTCATTATAGCCCAAACCCATATACCTAATAAAACAAAATGGGTTTCGAATTTAATCCACCGTCGAATAAAATCCGAAACAAGTCCCACGTCGTTTTGAAGAATAAGGTGGAAGAGAGTGGCTAAAAAAAGAACACGTGAAGCGTGGCCACTTGGGAAAGAGAAGTTGTCGGCGTGAACAGCGGGGGACATGTTGGGGTTGTAATGAGGACGGGCACGGCGGAAGGTTAGTTTGATGAGGCCGATCAAAGCGAGGTCCAGGAGGAGGCCGAGGATGAGAGGGATGGATAGAGAGGAAAGCGAGGGGGAGGCAAGATAGATAGAGAGGGAAACAGGGAAGGAAAAGCGGAAATCGGCGGAGTATTCGAGAAGGAGGAGGAGGAAAGTAGGGAGGATGGGTTTGAAGAGTGTGTGGAGGAAGAGGGAGACGGTGGCGTCTAGGGTTATTATGGGGTGGAGGAATGGTCGGGATGATGGCGTGGTTGTTTTCGGCGAGCCCATTGGTTCGGCGGTGGCGGATAGCGGGTTAGGCTGTCGGGCGGTGGAGGGTCAACTCAGAAACAACAGTTTACAGTTTAGAGAATGTTTGAGTTGATTACTTGGTTGGCTCTGATTGGATGAGTGAGTAAATCCTAGTACAACGGTGGCGTTTAGTAATGTGGGCCACATTAGGCCTACTAATGTCTAGTTTAGGGCTTGGGAGCCACTTAGAGTTGCCCATATACACTCATGAGAAATGAGAATCTTATTTTCATGGGCCTAAACCAATTACATTAAACTTTCATTGGACCCATTTTACTAGCCCACTGAGATCCTAAGACCATGGTTGGGTTGGATTCCAGCTTGTATGCCTCGAAAAGGATAAAAAGTAATGTTGATTAAATTAAGATTACTTTTTTTTTATAGACAGGTGGCGGAGTTTTTAAATTCTACAAATAATATTAAAAGATTGATAAATATTATTTTTTAATTATTTTTAATATATTCTAAAGAGGTAGAATGTTAATCTTCTTGATAAAATATTAAAAACCAGTAAAGAAAATAAAATTTCATAATATAAAAGATATTTCAAATATTATAAATTTTAAATTTGATCTTTAAAGTTTGGGATTGAAATTTTTGTAAGTCTAATTGAAATTAATGAAGTAAAAAAAAGACTAAAGCTTGGATGGTATCCTGATGTGGAGCTTAAAATTTTTCTTTGTAAAAAGGAGAAACAAAAATAATAGACAGATGATGAGCAGGGTTTGATTCTTGAATCGGTTCCTGTCAATCATTGTTCATTAGCTGACCTTTGGGAGACATGAGTTCTTTCCTGAAAATGTGGCATCTGATGAGCTCCAAATACAGTAGATTAGCCCTTTGTGTTTTTGGCAAATTTCAAATACCAAAAACATAGAGGATAAACGATATAAGGACCAAATTGATCAAAAATTGTGTTAGAATTGTACTTTACTTTTTGGAAACGATAGTGAAAGCCATGACGAAGGATAAATGCTAGATCAAATCAAAGAGAATTGAGCACGAAATGGTAGTCTTGTAAGGCCAATATCAATTAGAAAAAATCCAACTTAAGAGTAGGGTCACATCTATTTAGCTAGTAAATGTCAAGAACAAGGACCACAGGGATAAGACCAACGATCTTCACCATCTTATTCCCACAATATATCACCTGATTTTATCAAAGTTTCGGTCTTTGTCCCTTTCTTTATGGCCCAAACCCTGCAACATCCATCTTTCATCCATATTTTGTTTCCCCTTCAGTTCTATAACTTTCTTTCTCCCTCTGTATCGAACTAAAGTTGATAAATTTAGCATGGGAAATGTTAAAGAGCTCTATTGACACTTGTTCATATGATATTTATAAAAAGATTTAATGTTAGTCTAGAATCAACCAAACAATATTTGCCACATTTATGATTTAAGTAGCAATTTATGTGAATGGGTTTTGACCCACGTTTCTGATTCATTGATGTCTAAACGTTAGCAGAAAGCTGAGGGAAATCAATAGACGAATATGTTAATGAGTTCTTCAACTCCAAAGGCTGAAGGGTGATTTTGAAGGCCATAAGCTTTACATATTGATGGCGTGCGAAACGATGTTATGATCAGAAGGTTTGAGTAAGAATTATGAAAAGAAAGCATTTAGTGGGTAAAGGTTGGGAAAATATATGCATTTATGACACTTGAATTCCTTGTCCTTGAATGCATCGATGATTCCATGTCTCGAAGTTGGTCAAATTGTGTCAATCCACCCCACTTAATTTCAGGTTTCTGGTCTCATTCGAACGTCGGTTTTCAATCAAAACATGTATTATTATCATTAAAAAAATTAATTAATGACCCTATATTTCAAGTTCTTTCAAGTTTCAATTCATATAATTTTTTTATTTCCTTTTCCGTAAAAAAAAATAATAAATGGTTGGAGCTTATTTCATTTTAAAATTAAAACATATTAAAGATTTCAAAATTTTATATTAAATTTACAAATCATTTAGCGAGCTCTTGCTGGCCAAAACAAAAAAAATAATAATAATAATATAAGCTCTTAATTTTAGGCATTGAGGATGAAACTCCGAGGGAAATAGGTTTAAAAGGCATTTGCATACATAGCAAAAGAAAAAAGAGTGTTTGAAATGAAGCACGCCATGATCTAAACGCAGTTCCCGGTGCTTGAAAAAGATAATTGTGCAGGCGTGGAGGTAAAGGCTGGCAAAACTCCATTCACAGCCCCAACCCCAACCCCTCCCAACCTTACCATGCACTTCTTTTTATTAACCTCATAATCAACCTAATTACTTCAAATGCATTCAAATTTTCTTGCTATTTGCTTCTATTTTCCATAATGTACGTTATCTGCATCAATATTCAATCATGAATTATCTCTAAATTTATTGAATTTTTAACCAATAATTAATAGTTTAGGATTAAACAATCTGCAAATCTCAAAGCTGTCCCCTCCCTTCATAACTAAGAGCCATTATCCCAAGGACAGCACCAAACTTTGTGAATGGCGAGAGACCCGCTACCAAGAAAAATGTGGTAAAGGAGAAAAAGGGTTGTCGTTTTGTAAGTTTAAATTTCAGCGCTTTTCCAAGATGCTTTATGCCTGCCAGTTTCCATTCTCTTTCTATTCCTATCTGTCTTCTTTATCTTCAAAGTTCAGACTCCTATGAAAGATTCCAACCCCATTATCCCTCCCTCCCAAAATTCCTTTTAAAGTATTATCATGGGATTTTAAAGAAATAATTCAGGGTTTGGTATGTAATTCCTGAAATGCCATAAACTATTGTGGTTGCCAATTGGCAATTTGGCATAGTCCAAAGTGGAATCATGGGAAATTTTGATAAAAATACAACGGTGGAAGATTTCTTATTCTTATACTATAAATTAAAGGGCATGATGGGGATGCAAGACCCTACTTATTAGCTTCCACTTAATCATTCTTTTGTTTTAAAAAAAACTCAGTCAGAGACAATCTTCCACATGTATTATTTTGTCCCATTTTGTGGCATACCATACCTTTCTTTAAGGAATGAATTTGTCAATTTTATCAGATATCTCAAAATAATAATAATAATAATAATCCAACAGTATATAAATTAAACTTCTCTTTGACACCACACCAAGGTTAATAATTGTGTCATATGAAGTGGGAATCATAGATATATATTATTAAGGGACAAAATTGGTTTGCTGTAGGATATCTAAACCAATATAAATTATGTTCTATAATATTATCAAAATGAATGTTTTATGAAATGTTAATTAAGAAAAAAAAATTTATATAACGATAGTTTACAATTCATGCAATATACATTTGTCATAAAAAATCGTAGTAAAGGAACCCAGTAGGTTAGAAGTCATGTATAGTTGGGACAGAGATTTTCTTCAAGGCCACCCCCATTTTTCACTGTGTGAAACTTAAAGTCAGGTCAGAATAAAAGTGAAATGCAAGGTCCACTGGCTTTCAGATCCATTGAAACCTCAAGCTCACTTACAACACTGTATAAACACAGTTAACTAATGTTTATTTGATTTGAAGGAGCAACTTGAGTCAAGAAAGCCTTTTGAAAGTTGGATGGCAGAAAAGAAGGAAGCAATTAGGCCTTCAAATAGAAAATGACTTGAGAACTGAACTGGTGCCGAAGCTCTTTCTCTAACTATCATATATTATTTTTCAAAAGAATCATTTGTAAATTCACCATGGAAACTTGACAGGAACATCCAATGGATCATGAATTTTAGTTACCTACCGTGACCCTGAAGAAAAGTGTGGATATATAAATTAAACATCTACCATAATTGGGATTAATTTAACACATTCTCTTTTACGTACAATCCTTCTCAACAAAAATTGTTTTTGATAAAAGAAAAACCCTTAACATTTAATCCTTCTAATTAAATAAACTTTCTTTCAGTAGTCATTGAAAATCAGTTGGAATAGACAGCATACTTCTGCATATTTTTCATTCACTACCCCTTTATGATAGAGAATTAAGGTAGAGGTAGCTAGTAAGCTTTAAATGTCAAAGCATTTTTTTTTTTTTATACAAAGTTTTAGAAATTTCATTGGTTTTCGTGCTTAAAAAAGGGGATGGATACCTGCATTGAATATACTTAAACTGCAAAATCATCCCTTCTAATTAATTTTAAAACCATTCTACAATTAAAAACAAAAACTTACAAAAAAAACTATTTTTTTAATTTATAATCTAAAAATAAAAAAAAAATTACAAAGGTTTAAATTTCATATCCCAACACCTTAACTAATAGTACCAGTGAAATATTTTCCATAAAATCCTAGATCCCAACTTTACCAAGAAAAGGAAAAAAAAGAAAAGAAAGGAGGACATCAAATTTCTATTGTCATTTTGCTTTCTCATTAATGAATCTTTGTTTTTCCACGACACTTCCTATGACAGAATCCATGTGGGTAATAACCTTTGTCTCTGTAGTTTCACAAGGTCATTTTCGTCATTCCGCATTACACCATCCACGACGCAACTCCTGATTTAATATCCCGCCATCTCCCTTCCTTTACCTTTGTTTTTCTCTCACCCTAACCCACGAACACACAAAAAAAAAGCAAAAAAATGAAAGCTGCCAACAAAACAAAACTGAAAACATAAGTTTTAGAAAGAGAAAGAAAAAAAAGACAAAAAGAGAGTTATAGTGTTTAGATTCTTTGGCTAATCCGAGTATGGCAAGCGGGTGGGTCAAATCCTTGCAATGCAAATCGAGAGCATTCGAAGATGTTTATCACCCCAATCCGAAGCATTTGATATCTGGTTCCAGTTGTAGACGAAGTTCCCAGAGTATCAAAGACGTCATTGAAACGACCAACAAAAAGCCCAACAAATCCAAGCCGAAACCCAACCCTAAACTGCTTCCGAGGTCCAGCAGCAAACCCGAACCGGATTTGAATAACCCTCCGCCTCAACCTCGCCGGAGTAATTCTACCCCTGCACGTCCCGTTCGGAACCCTGATCTTGTCCTGCCAGCATTGACCGAGCTGCCCGAGGGTCACCCTTCGAGGAATGTCGTGGAGATTATTTTTCATACGAGTTGGAGTCCCAAGGTTTTCACGGGTCGGATTGAGATGATTTTTAAAGTTCAAAATGGACCGAGGACAGTGACGCGGTTCGAAGAGTATCGAGAGATGGTCAAGACTCGCTCCGGCTCGGGTTCGGGTGGTACCGCTTCAGCTGACGAGGAAAATGCGAGGTGCGTCGCGGACGGGAACGAGGTCATGCGGTTCCATTGTTTGGGTCCCACTTCGGGGAACTGCGGGATGAACGATACGTGGCTATTTTCCGGCGGTAAAGGTGCGGCGATTTGCACGTATTCAGGGAGTGGCGGGGCCCACGAGAGCGCGGGAGGTGCAAGGGGGAGGAGGGCAATGTTAGTTTGCCGTGTTATCGCTGGTCGAGTCTCGAAGCGGGTGGGGTTCGGGTACGAGTCGTTGCTGGATGGTCGAGCTGGATATGACTCAGTGAGTGGGGACAACGGCGAGTTGCTCGTGTTTGATCCACGTGCGGTGTTGCCTTGCTTTCTTATTATCTACAAATTGTAAAAATAGTGGAAAAAAACCTCTTTTTTTTTTATTTTCCTTTTATATGTTTCTTTAATATTTTTTATGAGGTCATCGTCTTTGTTGCATTTATCAACACAATTTTGTTTCTTTCTTTTTGGGGTTCAATTTTTTTTTTTTTGGGGTTTCTTTTTGATAATTTTCCGGTGATTATTATTAGTAAAAAAAAAATTGGGTTGTTAAATGCTAATTGATCAAGTTACCTAACTGTTTCTTTTGTACTTGAATTGTTGCTAACTCATCAATTAACACAATTTACCGTTTGGCGTTTGCATTTGTCCTTTGCTCTTTATTGCTGTGAAATTGGATTCTTTGAATTAGTGCTGTTTACTGTTTAAATCATTTTGTCATTTGGTGGGATTTTCAAAATTGTTGACCTTAATAATGAAGAAAATTGATTTGATATCAAATAGGTGATAATTATGGTGGTTGTGGAAGTTTCGAATAGAATTTTCAAGTTTGGTTCAAGCCATTGCTAGGCCAACAGGTACTCACCAATTGTTTCTGGTGTTGATGTGTTTTTGTTCATCAAGAATTACAGGGTTGTAGATTGAGAAACGAAGTATAATACTAGTAATAATGTTTTGGGGGACCAAAAAGAACGTACAATGATGATTTAGGACCCAAGAATTGATGGTAATCTGCAATTGGATACTAATTATTCTCATTGGGAAAAAGTGGGTCGTTAGTTCATGATTTTGTTAAGAAAAGAGAAGGGAGAAACAATGCTCGGGCTTTTCAGGGTTATGGTTCCAAATTCAAAGATGTTCTAACTTTTTTGTTTTGCTTGTCTCCATCAATAGTTCTTGATTAAAACCTGAATTTGATGTGTACTTTAAAGCATATATGAATAAATTTTTCCTGGTTTTTGTTGTTAATCTGAAACTAGTTTAGTTTTATCTTTTTGTCTCATTCTAAAACCCAGAAGTATGTCAAAGAATAGTCGACCCTGAATGGTGGTATTATCAGAAATGGAAGAAACAAAAATTAACTGCAATTCCCACCAACTTTTGTTCTTTATATATTTACTTCCCTTGGGGAGAAAATGAAAGGTTAACAGGTGGCATACAGTCACATCTTTGATGGGCACTTAAGAGCCTCGTGCCCCATTGTCCTCCTCTTTGCCATCGGTGATCTAATTCAAGAAGTGGGATGAGCGAGTAAACAGATAGGAAAGACATTGTTTCTGAAATTTCTTGTTGAATAACGCAATCAATGAATTATAAAAACACATGCCATAAGAAAGTGATATTCAACACTTTCTCCATAATGACTCTCAACCACAGCCATTTCCTCTGTTTAATCACCGTGTGTTTGCCACCATTTCCTCTGGTAGAAGGAAAGCGTCATTATATCAACGGTTAAGTGAAAGTAACCAGTATTTGAATCCTAGCGCAGACGAGAAATCTAAGAATGTCCTTGTATTGGATAGATCCAGCATTGTTTTTGGCATCCAATGCGGGGTTTCGTCCATTGCATTTATTTTTGTACTAGCCACTTTTATGATGGATTTCAGTGCAGCTGCAAGAACAGCTATTGTTATGAGAGTAGTGGGGGAATTTCAGGCCGCCAATGGGGCAGCTTTGATTGTGGAAAGGGTCTCTATCAAAGGCCCTTCTTCTTTTTGCCCTTGCAATGCCCCCCAATGATTTTCTTGTTCAGACAACAAAGCAGATCATCACAACGCAACACACCCCTCTTCAGCCCTCTCTAATAAGGGCAAGGTTCAATTTCTATCAACTAACTACAGACAAACAAGAGCTAAAACCAATAAGGAAAATTGTGAAGCCAAAACAAAAGGTAATAATCCCATACAAGAAAACAAAATATTGGGATCCCTCTATTCTGACTTCCTAATATGATCAATACTTCTGCTTGTGCTTGGAGGCAGCCCAAAACCTAGGTTTGGGAGCATAGCAGCTAACCAAATCATTAAGAATGACTAATGTTGACCAAACTCCATCAAAATTGAATCAAAAAAAAAAATCCTCGGAACGAGTTTTCTTTTATGACTTGTTATAGGGAGCTCAAGCTTAAATAGATGAGAAATTGTGACAAGGACACGAGTGAAGACAAGATACTTGAGCATCTATCATCTATCATGACAAACAATATATTCTCACAAGAAAGGCAGAATGGTTTTATATAATTCATTTCTTAAATAATAAAAAATGAGAAAAATCCTACAAGCATTTTTCGAATCAAGCCCTTTGCATGAATTCATTGATTCTGTGCCTGCTAGTTGAAACAACAGTCTCAATCACCAAGGTTTATCAAAATTCAGTAATGATGAAGAGAGTTCAGGTAAAAACAGAAGTAGATTCCAGAAGAAAAGTAGCTATCCATGGCACTCTAATGTACATCTCATTATGCTAGCACCGATTCAGGCAAACTGTATCATCAGCAAGGATCAATGGGACTCCACGAGTACATATAATGGCTTGCCATTCAAGCATTCACGACCCTACAAAATTCACCAAATTTAAATGTATAAATAAAATAATTCACCAATTGAGGCCCAAAACTAAATAGGCAACTAAAGAGACACAAATATAGATATATCCCGCCCAAGCATATACGGATTAGTCCAATGCATTATTATGTCAATCAAGAAGCTCAGCACTTATCATAATAATCACTATCACTTTAGTCTCACTCGGATATGAACATCATTTTGACATTTTGTTCCTTGACAAAATAGATAACAAGTCTGAATAAAAGACAGGATCCAAATATATAAGCCATGATTTAAGCAGTAATTCAACTCTTCCGCAACTAAGGTTCTGGGTATCCTCTGTTATTCAAAGGCTACATTGCTAACTGATTCCATGCCTTCTGAGTTCTAACAATACTAATGTTAATATTTGCACATTCACAGGTTCATTGTGCCATCTGTAACATCACTTTAGAGGCACTGTAAAGTCATTTAGAACCCTTGGAAGCCAATAACAATCGAGAAGTTAGGAAAGACAGTTGAACATTCAAAATCTGTAGTTCCACTCTGGAAAATTCTTTCTATTTCTGATCTTCCATCGATTGTTAAATTTATGCATGTGTCACACTTTACAGAGTTCATGCACTAGTGTGGTTTTGTGTGTGCACTATTTGTGTTTGCATGGATGAAGCTATGAACAGGAGTACAGGAAGTAGCTAGGATTGGCGGCAAAACACATACCTTTAAATCGGGTAACTCAATAACACAAGCACATTCAACTACTTCTGCTCCAACCCGTTCTGAAAATTTACATTTATAGTGAATGATAGTAATCAGGAAGAGAAAAATGCCATCTTCAATACAAGAATAACCAATGTCAGAAAAAAAAAAGTAAAAAACCAGAATCCAGACCCATGCAATAGATAGATCAGAAATCAGTTATCAGATTTCTTACCATGGACATCAAAATTAGTTTAATTTGCCAACAAAATACTACTGGATGTACAAAGATAACACAAAATAATCACAACTCAGATTTAAGGGAAAGAAAAGCACCACAACCATATTTAGTATCTTAAAGGTTGAGGTTGTCACTACCTCAAATGCAATATCTTTTGTTAATAAATATGTTGAATCCACATTTACCACTATATCTGGCAGATATTACATTAAGAACTTTAACAAACAGGTGAATGTGGTATGCATATACATACCCACTGTACTGGTTATGCTTACCAGCCTGACAGATATGATCATCTTAATCACATAAAACAAAAGACTAGCAATAAATGTCACCTAACTTGCTAGTTTCTTTTGGCCAAGACACCTCTCTTAATTACTAAAATCACTAAGCTGACAAACTAAAATTTCTTGTGACATGCATCCTACCAAATGTGATATATGTTAAGATAATTCTTCAGGCTGCAATTCTTGTAAATGATCTCCATTTAGCTATTGCAAAAAGTATTCAGCTTTTAAATAGATAATAACTTCCTGTTTTTCTTAAGAGTTCATTAGAGTACCCAGTAATTTCATAGCAGCACAGAGGGTGCCTCCAGTTGCTATCAGGTCATCAACAACCAAAGCCCGCTCGCCAGGTTCAACAGCTCCAACATGCATCTCAAGACAATCCCTTCCATATTCCAGAACATACTCTTCTGAAATAACTTTACCTGACATCATTGCAAAATTGGGGTGCATTTTTATCACAGAGCATGAACTCTCTATATAACAATAAAATAGATAGAGCAGATCAAGCAGCATTAACAGGAGTCTTGGTTACATTACATATATAATATTAAATCGAGTTATAAAATTTTCTTTGTATAACTGCACACTGGGAAAATACTGAAGAATGAAGAATATACCAGGCAACTTCTTTGGTTTTCTTAAAGGAACAAACTTTGCTCCAATTTCCAACGCAATGGGAGGACCAAAAATAAAACCCCGAGCTTCTATACCTGAGATACAATCTTTCTTATTATGATCTATAAATTCAATATACAACAAAATACACAACGGAAAAGGAAAAGTGAATGCACATAACAAAAAAAATCCAGTAGCGGATGACTAGAGATGATATCAAAGCAATAGATAACTACTAATGTCTGCACCTGATTAAAAGAATATGTAAGCAGCCATACCCTGCCACTCCAAGAAAAAATTCCAAATGACACAAGTAACATATTTTAGGTCCATTTAAGTAGCACGCAAAGCTCAAGCACTGATCCAAAATTATCCCCCCTTCCCCCTCTGCTCCATGTGAAAAATAAAAAAAGAAGTGAGCGTATGCATTATGACCAAAGGTTTGTTTGTCCTCCTCAACCTCTAATCAAATCTAACACATTTACAACCCAAAGGACAAGCCATCCAGTAGACTACTAGAAGTCTTTCATCAACTAAAAAATAAATAAAGCAGATGACATGGCAATACAGCTCGGGTAGATGTAAAGTGCCAACTGATAAAAAAAAGAAGCATAAACAGGGTCAACACCCATTTGACAGACTTTGTTGCTGAGTTTCAGTCCATGCATGTGCCTGTAAATCTAGGAATACACAGGACCAGCAAATAAAACCTCTCTAACAGAGACTACTTAATGCTTAACCAATTTTTTGTCATGAACACAGGAATTATATTAGTCAGACAACACTTTATTGCAAAGCTTTTCAGGCATAGACTCCAAATTTGATTTAAAATAACAGCATCTTGAGTCAAATGAGAAGGGGCTTGAATTCCAAGACAATTAAGTACAACATACTCCGTTGTTCTTGTATGACAATAAAATCAAAACCCTAGGAATTTGACCTAACCAACTGGATAATATTAAGCAGAATGGTGATAAGAAATTATCCTTATCTCTGAGGGAGATGCCAAAACTTTCCATGTGAGACCACCAAAAAATCCATAAATAATCCATTAACACAAGAAGACAACCTAAGTCCACATTAGCATACAAAGAGACAGATTCCAATGCACGCACAATAAGACAAATCACATAAATAATAAACGCCTAAACAAATCTTCTCATTTAAAATAAAAACAATGAACAAGGCGCCCCTATCAATGATGAGATCATTAAACCTTTTTAACTACCTACAAGTTACTCGGAGTGACAGATGGTGTTTTGGAGTTTTGCCACAAGGCATGAGCAAAACACAGCACATTATCATTTCATTCAGCAATATAGACACTAATCAATCGAAACAAACAGTTGAGACATAAATGCTACAGAACTAGAATTTGCTTCAACTACCCTATATGAGTTTTGATATCCATCAATCTCTCCTGCGTCTCATTCAACAATTCCACAAACTTCGTGCAAATACATCAGCAAATGGGGATAACTAATGAAAGGGAAAATGGAGAAAAAACCTTTTAAGCAACTTCATTTCTTAACTTAAGGGGTCCAACCTCGGGGATTGATTATATATAAGAAAAACAACAAATGCATCTAGTCATCCAAATCCAACAGTAACAGAGCAGATATCCACATTGTGGTTCTATACTTAAGCTTAAAAATAACGAAAAAAAAGGGGAGGTGAGAAAGCTCCAATCACAATTGACATAGTCCGGGTCCACCTCAAGCAAGGTGGGCATCCATCACCAACCACCATCAAGCCAAATCGGATCCAAGCACATGCCCACAACAAGAATGTGTAGGGAGAGAGAACAAATGAGAGCCGCTCAAAGGGGAAAAGAAAGAAGTTCAAGAGAGAGAGAGGAGGCAATAAATGGTATACCACACTAGCAAAGGGTTACAGTCAAACAAGATATGAAATCTAAAGAAAAAAAAAAAAAAAGTCACTTCCATTCCATAATCCGTGAAAGGGTATTCAAAAAGACAACCAGAAACTTATGCAACTTGAAGAGGTATATCCCTTTTACTCCTGTTTCCACAGTAGCTACTTTCTCGTAAGCATGGACCCCACCCCCTTGATGCAAATCAAAGAGTGATTACAAAAAGGTTCTTAAAAAGCTTTGAATCAAATCTTTAGCACATCAAGAGCCTTCATATTAACAAAATAAAATTGATTTCAAATTTTTTTTAAAAAGGTATTTTTTCTGTTTCTGTATCTTCCTTCAGTTTCTTTTTACCTGCAACAACTGAAATGTTCTTCCCTTTGTATCTCTCAACGAACAAGTCCACTGTGTCCTTGAATGCTTTAGGATCCAGCAACAGAGTAGTTATGTCTTGAAACCTTATACCTTCCATTTCCACCAATAACAAAACAAATTTACAATCTTACATAAACAACCGAACATAACAATTAAATCGTTTAACTTTCTTTCAAAATGACAAATAACCAAATAAGAATTAGGTAGAAAAGTCATATCAAGAGCAATGAAAACAGAGTTCAGTCTTTATATTTGTTTCTATTATTCTAAGTACTGGAAAAATCTGGGTTCCAAACCTTTTATCCATTTTCCCACATTTTTATAGCAACCATAGAGAGTAAACCCCCAATGAAAACAGAGTTCATGACGTAACACAAAGAGACGCAAGAAACCTTTTTTATTTTTCAAAACAAAAAAGAATACAAGATGAAAGAAGAAAGGGAGGAACCTGGTTTTGGGAAATTTGGGACAACACGAATCTTGGATTGGATGCCATCGATACGGGGATCTTTGTCTCTGTAAGCCGACATTGTCTATTGTTTTTTTATGTAATCTATCTATTTATCTTATTTCTCTCTCTTTATACCATGTAAGCAAGGAGGAAAGAAACAACAGCAACAGAGAAGCAAAACAAAGCGGCCAAGACTTCCCTTTTGTCTTGTCTTCCTCACTCCCTTCTTTCTTGCTTTGATATTTCTGACCTCAAACACAAACACAAATACAGAACCTTTAAACGAAGAAAACAAAAGTGGGTATTTATAAGAAAAGGAGATTTAATTGTTGACAAGGAGAAACAGAGCAAGGAAGGGCCTCTACGCACAAGGGAATAAAGAGAGAGAGAGAGAGGGGGAAATCTTTGCGTTGATATAAGCGAGACAGAACGAGTGATGGTGTAAAAAAAAAGCGTTAAAAATAAAAAGTGGAATCACGAGGCCCCCCTTCTCTTTTTCCCCTTCCTTATTTGCAGGGCTTTTTTTTTTTTTCCACTTCTTTTTCTCTGACTGATCTCTCTCTTTTTTTTATATGTAAAAAAAATGCCTCTCCTTGTTTCTTTGCGTCGTTTGCTCGGTTTCAAGTGTTAAGTTGTAGGTCGCCGGAGGGGTGCCCGTTGTTTGTGTTTCGCGCGCTTCTCAAGAGGGTTACCTGACGTTTATCTCTCTTAAGTCCTAGCCCCAATCCTTTCTATATTATATACCTTAATTTTGGTTTTTGGCTAATTAATATCCTTTGTCCTTGTCATCTAATGTTAATTATTCACCATTAGATAGAGATTTTTTATAATTATAAAATTTTTATTCTTTAATAAGAGAATATGGTATTAGTTTTTTCAATAAGATTGAGGTATTCTTAGATTTTATTTGAATATAATCATTTTCTTGAACAATTTTCAAAGTATTTTTTATATAATTTGATACATTCATGATTTTATTATTATGTGTTTTTTGTACGAGTCAAATTTTAATTGATAAAAAAAATAAAAATCTTCCCTTACCTACCAATTAGACTAATTCTTGTAAGTGTAAGACAATAGTTTGCTACACCATAACGTCAAAGATTTTGTAATTGAAATATGGTAATGAAATTTTTTTAGCAATGAGATCCTCTTTACCAAAAAAAAAAAAAGAATGAAATCCCAGTTATAGGGGAAAGAAATTTATGGATAAATATGGACTGTAATATACGGAGTAAAACTCTCCCTTCTTTTATCCCATGGCCTTAGACACCATAACCATAGAAAGTGAGGTAAAATCTTAATTTATAACTATTCTGCAAATCTAAGATTACTCGAACGTATTGATGTTCAAAAAGCTACAAAAATCAATGAAATTCAAGAAAAGTTAGGACAAAGAAAGAGACTGATAACCACCTATGAATCTTGAAGATGCATAAAATTTCTTGACCCGAAGAAAAAAATTTGAAGACTTAGAAAACTTTTGGGCACTTGTAATTTGTCATGCATTATACGCTAAATCTTTTTTTTGACATATAGTTTGTTTAAGTGGTCCAGTTCAGTTGACGTGAAAACCGAAAATTTTCAACATCCAACTTCCAAATTTGCATTTGTGGGGAGACAAATGCTTTTTAAACCTTTTCGTCTATCAACTACAGCTTAATTCCTATTTATGCTGTTTTTGCACGTTTACTTTTGACAGTTCTTGCAAGAAAAAGGAGAGAAGAATATTTTTAAGGTATGAATATACAGTGCAAAGTAGTTCTAGACGAGTTAAAAGGCACAGGGTTTTGCTTTTCTTTGATGTTCAAAACTACTTTAATCTAAAATAATACTGCTTCAAATCAATTATTGAACCAAAGCCCAAGTTTGATTCATGTTTTACTTACTCATGTCTTTTTTTTTTTATGAATTTAATGAATTTATTTTACAAATGTGGTTAAAAAATTATTATATTTTTTATTTTTTTATTAAGGGACATGATAAATTTTCGAACTTAATTAGGTGACACTACATCAATGTATTCCAAGAACTTTGGTATCTTGTGATTAATGTTTAAACATTGTCTAATATTAGTTAAAAAAAAAAAAAACATTTTTGATGTTTGTCCATGATATCATGACACATTTTGAGAATATGAAGAGGGTTTTGTAAGCCTATTAGTAGTAGTTTTAAGTTGGGGTCCAAAGTAATCAAAATGATAATTGAGGATTGCCTTACAAGTCAAGAGTTGAAAATGAGCAAAGTAACAGGGTCCACATGCAGCTATTTATTAATCCTTTATCTAGAAGTTCAAATTTCTGATGAAAACTTTAAAAGTCTTTGCCCTTACCATCCTCCTATACTAACTTTGTACTAATCGTTTTTTTCTAAAGTGGAATTTGAGTTCTTTCTTACGTTGAGTTTTAGAGTTCGTTTTGAATAGACTATGAATTTAAAAATAATAATAATTAATATTATTATAATTATGATTAAAAAAATATATTAAATAAATTTTATTTAAATTAATATTTAAATTCAATTAATCATATCAAAATAAATAAAATTCAACCTCCTCTAAGTAAACCCTAAAATATTTTTTACAGGCTCTAATTTCCACCCACTTTTGACAATTAGATCTTTTCTTGCATGAATCTTGAAACCAGAAAAGAAGTATTTTGTTGTATTAAATGAAAGTAAGGGTACCTCAAAATTTCAGCAAATAATGAGAGCAGGAAGCACTGCAGCAGAAACAAGTGTGCACAAAGGCCGGCATAGAGAGAGAGAGGCCCCTAAAAAATAAAATGAGAGGAGAGAAGGCTGCGTTTGGGTTGGGTTGCTGATGATGAGTGATAGCATCAACAGGTCTCTGACAAGCTGCCATATCTTTATCTTTGAGACCGTTTAAATATCAAGGGTTGCTTTCAAATCTGCATGGAAATATTCTGTGGGCAGCTCTCATCCCTTTCACATTAATCAAAATATCTTTTTCTCCGTTACATTCAAAATAGCAACACAGCACCTGCCTGCCTCTACCATAATCCTTTATTAAAGCAGAGCAAGCCAAGCAATGACAAATTTCTATTAAATATAACACTATATAAATATACATATATGTCTTCAGTTTTTTGAATTTAGTGGTCAAAAAAGTATTAGAAGACACAAAAATTGAGGTTCGATTTCAGTCTTTTTCCTTCTCCCTTATTGTAGAGTTTTGCTTCTCTTGAAATCAAATATATATATATATATATAAACTTAGATAAATTTACAATATTGGATTTGTATTTTCTGCATATACCTTAGATTGAGGACATTGACTTTGGGCTTTTGGCATCATTCATTCCTCCTCTGTCCCTGTCCTGTTTCTTTTTTACTACCGTATCAGGAACTAGACCTTTGGTGTGGGTAATAGTTGAATTGTCTCTTTCGAAATATTAATAAGGGAATTCGAAAGAAGGGCATAACTAGAGCTACTAAGGAGAAAACTATTGAAATGCAACAAAATTAAGTTAAATTTACATAAAGTAAAAACATTATTATAATTAAAATAATTCATAATTAATTCCAAAAAGTTGTTTGTAGACCAATTAGCCTAACCCCTGAGTTTGGATTTGGACAGAACTCTACACCAAAAATTAGCTATACGTAGAAAAATGTAAGTGGGAAAGAGTGGCATTTAAGGATGGTTCAAAAAGAATTAAAAAGTTTAATAAAGGTTGATCTTCCCCCGGCTCATAATGGCAACAACTCGCTCGCCAAACGCAAAGACTAATGATAGAAAAATTTTAGTTCAACTCTTTTGCTTGTCTACATTGATTTTTCTCTTAATTAAAAGATCCTTTCACCTCTCAACCGTTCATGATGACATTTTTCTCATGTTTAAATTTATTCTTTCTTTCAAAATGAAAAATAAAAAACAAAAAACAAAAAGTAAAACTTATATCAAATTTCATGTTAACGTTTTGTCTCCTTTAATTTTTTTATAAATTTTTTTATTTATTTAATCCATTTGAGGAAAATATTACGAAATTAAGTACTTTCGAAGCTATAATTTTTAAAATTTTGATTAGTATGACTTCTAGTTAATACTCAATTGACTCTTCCTTTGGTATTTATAAATTACTAGAAAAAAAAAAGTGAGCAAATTAGTTAGTGAGTTTAAGTTTTCGTATAGTTAATTATGGATCCCATGAGGCAACGATACATCAAGAAGTTATTAAATAATTGATAACGAAATTTTTTTAATTTTATAATAAAATTAATAAGATGATATATACTCTTTAGTATATATTTTTAAAAAATAAAAAAAATTAATGAGATATATATATCATTCTATTAAAATCTCATATACCTACGAGTTTGACAATGTATCAAATAATTTTTTTTATATATTATACTACTATAAGTTAAAAGAATCTTATATGGGATGAATGTTTGACATTTATCCATATCATTTGGATTAAGTATTTGAATTTTAGTTTTGGACCTTTATTTTATATTATATGTAAAGTATTTAATAAATGAGTTTTTTCAAATAATTTTATTAGATTAAATAAATAGCAATGGACTTTTCAAATGATATTTAAACCCTTATTTATATTTCATTCCAGTCAATTATATCTTTTTTTTTAATTATTTCCTTAATTAATAGAACAAAAAATTGATTAGGTATTAAAAAGTTCATGATTTATAGCATTGTTCAAAGATCAAATAATATGTATATGTTTCTCAAAATAAAATAATTAATTCTATTTTGTTGTTATAGTACTTTTATTGCATTAGATAAAATTTTTCCATTGATTTCCAAAATTTAAATAATTATTTTACCTATTAATTTATTACTCATATTTTTGCATGAGGAATGGTAATCTTGCAATAATATAAAAATAAAAAATTATATATATTTTTTGTAATTATTAATTTCAATAAATTTTAAGAATGAACGAAACAAATAAAAAATAATTTAATTTTATCATTTTAATTTATTAAAATTAATAATTAAAAAAATAAAATATTTTAATTTTACACCCTCCCGGCTTTTGCTTCTCCGCAAATTTGAATGTAACGACGGATCTGTCAAAGCAGCAATAATAACCCTATAAGGATTAGGTGATTACAACAATATTGAGATTCTGTGATGATTAATGCCTATATAATTTGCATTTCATTTTCTTTGACACCAAAATCTTCGATGCTTTAGGAGGTTAGATCTTGCAAGATTGTGTGTGCTTTTTTGGGGTAATGTTTTGTCAAAGATGACCCAATTATTTTTAACGTACGTACTGCAAAGAAAATGGTTGTTTTATATATAAATTGATTTCCATATTAGCAATTATAATTGTCAACATTTTGCCAAATTATTATTCTTAACTCACTTATTGTGAGATCTATTTTTCGATAATGACGTTGAAATTTTTACTTTTCATTGATGATTGTGGGAAAGGGCCGGAGAGGGGAAGGCCTACTCTCCATTATATAGTTCATTTAGAGAATTAGAGGTAGCCCCACCCATCAATTTGCCTTTGGGGGAAAAAAAAGAATTAAAATTTGTGCTAATTGATTATTTTGACATTGATTAATTTAAAATTAAGACTTACAAGATAAAATAAATTAAAAAAATTCAAAAATTAGTTTTTATAAGATTTAATTAAATTTCCGTGAATGAATTATAGATTAAATTATAACAAATTTAAAATTTAATTTAATTAATTTATATAATTATTTTAAATAAATTTTAATATTTAATATTTATATCAATTTTTATTTATTTTATTTTATAAAAAAATAAAATTAAAACATAATTTAAAGATGCTTTTGATCTTATTA